GGCTTCAGCTGGGATGTTATCAATGCCGGGCGCTTTTCCGGGTTTTAATTCTCGTACTGCCTCCTCTATTTCCTCTAACCCTGGTGGTTCTTCTGATATTCTGGGATCAGGGATTACTCTTTGGTTCCCTATTTCTTCGTAATTCTCATTCACTTCTATACCTCCTGCCATATTCAGGACTTCTTGAAAGTGTTCATGCCATCTCCTAATTTGTTCTTGTTCTGAGGTTAGAATTTTCCCCTCCTTATTCTTAACTGGTTTATCCCGTCTCAAATGTTTCCCTGAAAGTTGTTTAGTGATCTTATACAATTCTCTGGAGTTTCCAACATCGGCTGCTGTTTGAGCTTCTGCTGCCAACTGGTTGATGAAGTCCCTCTTATCGTGTCTCAATCTTCTTTTAACTCTTCGATTTGCTTCATTGTATTCTCTCAGGGCTTCAGCCTTTTGTCTTCTTGTGTGGCTGTTATTCAACACTGCTTTCCTATGACGCCTTTCCGTCAAGAGATTCCATGATTCCTCTGTTATCCAATCTTTACGCCTTACATCTTGGAAGCCTAAATACTCTTCACATGTCTCCGCGAGTGTATTCCTTATGTCTCTCCATTGACTTTCTGTGTCCTCCTCATGTAGCTGTAACTCCTGGAATCTATTCCTTAGTTCTATTGTAAAGCGGTCCTTTACTTCTCGATTTTTGAGCTTGCTGGTGTCATAAAACGTCTTTTTTCCCATTTTAGCGAATTTCCCTATAGGGAAGTAGCTATTACCGTAGGTCTCATGGTAAGACTTAGGCCCGGGACCGATTTACTTTTTCATTTTGATGTCCCCAGAGGCCAAAAACACCATTCGTTCAAATTTTTATATATGTATATATATATATATAGATATATATATATATATATATAGATTTATATATATATATATGTGTCCGTGAACACGATAACTTGAGTAATTTTTATTCGATTTTGATGAAATTTGGTTTGAAGGTGTAAGGCGGGATAAACTTGAATGAGTTCGCGATCCAGGATGATCGGACCACGGGAACAGGGTTTTATGGGGGGTTTTATGGGGTAAAAATTGGTTTTTCTCACTTTTGACCCTCAAAACACAAAATGTCCCAACTTTTCTCTTAACCTTCTTAAAGAGCTTTAAAAAACAAACAATTCAGTATATCAAAGTGTTTTTGTACGGTTATTGGTTACGGAGAAAACTAAAAAAATTGTAAATTTAAAATTCCCATGTTATTCTTATGGAGAATATTGTAAAATGTTGTAGTTTGCTTGTTTATGGATATATTTTGATCAAACTTGGCAAATTTATTTATTTTATAGTAAGCTATCAATATTTTACTAAAAACACACTTTATTAGTTTCCTTGTAGCAGCAAACCTAGGTACTCGTTAAACCTAATGTTATTTAAATAGATCAATTGAAAATCAATTCAGCCAAATGGAAATTCGCTTAGACGGCAGGTTTGCTGCGGCGGGAGTATTTCTTTGTAAATTGAACAGCAGAAATCTTAAGACGTATTGTTGCAATCATGAGATGGTGATCGCTTCCTATATCGGCTCCTCTCTTATTTCTCACATCCATTAGAGATCGCCTCCATTTTCGGCTTGTTGCAAAGTGATCCATCTGGTTTTCTGTATGTTGGTCGGGAGACTGATGTGTATTTATCCCAATTTAAAGTGTTTTGTACCTGAATGCCTGAAGATTTTGTAGATGACGTTTCATTAATATTATCTCCCTGAAAATTAATATTTAATTCGATAGTTTCTCTGTCATGAGTAGTTTTATACCAAATAATTTGAGTTTTAGAACAATTTAGACTCAGCCCATTTGCTGTGAACCATTTGTTTAAAAATCTTCAAAAGTTTGGTTTATCAAATTTTGTAAAGTGTTGGGGCTGTTTGATTTTAATATAGCTGTTGTGTCATCTGCGTATAGAACAAGCTTTGAATTTATGTTAAAAGGCAGGTCGTTAATATAGATGAAAAACAACAAGGGTCCCAATATAGATCCCTGAGGTACACCACAATAGATCATTTTCCATTTTGAAAAGTTATAGATGTTATCTTTAAAAATAATATTTTTTTGAAAGCGGTTTGTAAGATAGGATTTCAACAACTTCAAAGCAATTGGAGAAAAATTGTAGGTAAAATTTAACCTTAGAAAATAAAATTTTATGTACAACACAGTCAAAGGCTTTTGACAAGTCACAAAACATTCCAGCAATATTCTGAGACTTATCAATGCTGCAACCGACCTCCCACAAGAAGTCAGACAGAGCCTGAGTTGTAATCAATAGTAATTAGCTGTTTCATGGTGGTTGTTGGCACATTTGAATTTTCAAAACATACAATTGCAATATGGAGATGCAGTTCTTTGAATGGCAGTGTATTGTTTGCAGTGTATTGAATGGTTTATAAAGACGAAATCTGTCAAGTGTTTTTTTGTTTTTTGTCTGGGTGTTTGTGAAAGATCAATAGAATGTATATCGCTCGTTGATCTCTAACATGGATAAACTAACAAAATGAAGCAAAGAGATGCCTTTGAAAAGATATATAAAACACATGTTAATTAATTGTTTGCAGAGTTGTTCGACATTGTAAAACATAATGCTAGCAATCAACATACGTTTTATATGGTGACAACATGTTTTTAGATGGTAGTTCGAAAACTAAAAGAAATGTTCTTTTAGTTTTCTAACTATCATCTAAAAAAGAAATACGGATAGTTTAAATTTGAAAGTTGATTGGAATTGCAATACCTTTAAATTTATATGCAATATGTTGTATACTATTCAACGTTTTGGCTATTTAGGTATTAAAAAAAAACTGACCTGCCCATGCGGCTGTGCCTTAATTGGCCGAATCATTAGGATAAAAAATATTTAATAAATATTTTTTGATGGAGTTCTTGTTTGATTCTTCTGCCTTGAGAATCAATGTTATAGTTACGAGATAATACCCCCACGATAAGAATAATTTGGGAATTTTAAATTTACAGTATTTTGTAATTCCTCCTTATCCATGCATGGCAACAATTTAGTATAGAATAATAGACTAATTACATACAATTACAATACAATAATTCATAGAACTCATCAGTTAATAGTAATTTCAGTGTTAAGTATGACCTTAAGATTACGTGGCTACAAGTCAGGATAATTCCTTCGAAAGAGGTTTATATTGTTTTTGTAAAACACTAATAAACAAGGTCATCCCCAGATCGAAAGAGGTTTATATGGTTTTTGTAAAACACTAATAAACAAGGTCATCCCCAGAAAAGTTATAAAATATTTTACAAGTACTGAGTAAGAAAATTATTATTTATTAAGTCGAATCAAATAAACTAATCTAAATTTATTGTGAGGGTTATTTATTTTTAACTCACTTTGTTTTGAAATAGCCCTTGTACTTAGCAATTGCTCTACCTTGAGCAACGGTAAAGAACAAATTACAATTTAAAATAAGAGTTGTTAGCGCAGCAACGCGCGCCGGGTAACTGCTAGTTCCTTATAACTAAAAAACGTTTGGACAGTCTTTGTTAAACGCTTGCAATTAATTTATATGCAATTTATTAATCTTTTACTGACATAAATAAACGTGCAATCTAATTTCCAAATATACTGTACAATGTCCTTTATGTTTTTTTATGTCTCGTCTAGTTGTGTTGCAGTAAATACTCAAACTTGTGTGCCTATAAACTTTTTGAACTACTATTATGAGGAAGGCACAGGTGGGTCAAATCCCAAACAATGGACTTTGACAGGTAGAATATACAGTCAGGTCTCAAAACAAGAGACTTAAGACAAATGTCCGGATTTTTCGTTGCACTAATAACAAATTGGCGGTGAAAAATTACTTTTAATAACCGCTTAATACCCTTAATGATTTTTAGCTACCATTTTGTTAATAGTGGTCCGATTTCGATTTTCCTTATGTCAATTATTTAGGGTTTTGTCAAGACCTGTAAAATGATACCAAACTTTACCATACTTCCTATTTTAAAATTTTGAGCTACCCCTAACCCCCTTCCCCTAAGGGCAAAATTTTCAAAATTAACCATAATTATTGTAGCCTCTCAAATCTTAAAACGTTGACACAAACCGATTTCAAATATCTCAAATAGTTAAAAAGTTAAGGGGGGTGCAAGTTACTTTTCAGTAACCCCTCATGTTTATTTGTTTTTGTAACTTTTTAGGGCGCCATTTCGTTGTTAGTGGTCCGATTTTGGTTTTCTTTATGTCAATTGTTTTGTTTTGTCAAGGCCTGTAAAATGATACCAAACTCAACTATACTTGCCGTTTGAAAATGTTGAGCTACCCCTACCCCCGCTCCCTAGGGGAAAAATTTTAAAAATTAACCATCATTTTGTTGCCCCTCATATCAAAGAAGGTTGCCGCAATCAGATTTCTAATATCTGAAAAGGTTGACAAGTTAAGGGGGGGTGCAAGTTACTTTTCAGCCACCCTGTATATTCAAGTGACCAACTGCCAGAATCTTTTATGTGATCAAAATGACTTTTGAGTTGGTTTTGAGTTGCCAGTTTGAACCTTGCACGGGCTTCAATGTTTTTGTGTCTTGTCATGTGTTGTATTTGTATACAAATGTTCAATTTGTATATTTAATGTACTGTATTAATTTATTTAACTGTTGAACAAATGACCATATTAGAAGGGCTTTCCAGTTTTATTTTAAAAACAATCATCTAGTTTAGTGTACCACAACACACCCAACGATGAAGTAATCTCCGAAACGGCCGTAGTGCAATAATAATACTGTACATCTAGATTACAAAGACAGTAGGAGTAGACCTAAGTAACTAATTTATCTATATATTTAGACACAATCTGTCACGCCCAAAAGCCATTTGAAATTAAGTTCCCAAGTAAGATTCCAGGACTTAATCCATCTTATACTTATAGACTTGTTAAACAATTTTAGAAAACCATCAGATATGAAGGGAACAAACGACATACAATACGTATTAAAATTACAGGTCTACGACAACCAAAGCTGTTGGAATAGCGTTTGGCCTCATGACATTCCAGCGACTGAGTGGTGTGAGCGCAGTTGTGTACTACACTGTTGACATTTTCCGAGGCGCTGGAACTTCTATTGCCCCCACAACTGCTACCATCATCGTAGGAGTAGTGTCTGTGGTAGCCTCTGTAACCAGCGCCTGTCTGGTTGATCGTCTGGGACGTAGATTTCTTCTGATTCTCTCTGACGCTGTCATGGCTGTCAGTCTTGCAGTCATGGCTGTTTACTTTGCCTACAAAGAGAGTGGTAAGACTTATTGTCATTTTAGTGTTTTTTGTCTTACATGTGTTAATGGTGGTTGGATTGTTTCTTCTTCTGTACCTTTCACCTTTGGTTTCATTGCAAACATTTGTCTGCATTTGTACACCCATTTTGCTTTATTAAAGTTAGATTATTGTTTTATAGCAATAAATTTGCAAAGTACAAACTATGCTACTCATATAGTGACACATAAATATGATAAACTTCACATCAATACAAGTTTAGATGTTTTTACAAATGGTTCTGAGAGTAAGAATTAATTGTCCTTTAAATATTTTACTATGTACAATGTAAGAAAGATTTTTTTGGATGCAGACATGTTGCTGTAAATCTTGTATAATTTAATCAAGCCTACTTTGTTTTATTAAGTCATAAAAATGTGTCGTAAACCTACTGTATTGTAGATCCTCAATAATTGAATGCATGTAATGGTTACAGGTGTGGACATGCGGGCTTTGGGTTGGTTACCGGTGGTGGTTATTTGTATACTTTACGGTATATTTCGTGTAGGCCTGGGACCTATACCTTGGTTTATGATGGCAGAAGTTCTACCGACGGAAGTGAAATCTTGGGCTTCATCTGTTGTTGTTTGTCATACGTGGATATGTACATTCCTTGTGACTAAGCTGTTCTTGGTTACTGTGGACTACATTAGCTTCGCTTACACATTCCTTATAATGAGTGCTATTGCATCGATAGGGCTTATATTTATTTTACTGTATGTGCCAGAAACTAAAAATAAAAGTTCAGAAGAAATAAGAGATGTGATATCAGGAAAGTATAAAGTAATATATACAAAATTGAATAATGACACGTGATCCTCTTCTCTCTTTTTGACACGAGCAGAGAATGAAAAGCTGCGATGAGGACTAGTTTTTGGCTACCGAGGGAAACTTAACAGGTCACAATCATATGGATAGCTAAGTAAACTTTGCACAGGTCAAAAGGCTGTAAAGCCTACCAAGAACTAATAATTTATTATTATTTTGTTGGGTATACTATCAATTGATAAAAGGTAGCCATGAATGATCGGCTTTTGTATTTGTAAATGCATTAACTATTAGTGGCAAAGTTCAGATGCTGGGTATTTTATGCTAAATATTGCAAATGCTCATACGACATTTCTCAGGGTACGACAATCGGCAATCCTCTGGATTTTATGTAATTACCTTTAAAACCTTTCCGGGTTAGTCCCGTCGATATTTTTTGCCACTCTATCAGCAACAAATAAAGTAATCAAACAAACCATACAAACAATCATAATACTTGTAAACAACCTCATTATACTATTTTAATGGGTACAGTCCAATATTATTTCCATAGAAATTTCCAGTAGGTACATACATAATTTAAGAACAGAAAATTGTTAGTAAAATTATTGCTTTATGGTAACTTCATTGAGGGCCTATTGAAGAAACTCATGCGGTACCTCTTTGAAATAGTGCACCGTACGAATGCTTGGTAATTTTACTGAGCTCCAGCTGATTTTACTGAGCCCTTTTTGAAAACAATCACTTTCTTGTCTAAAAATAGACCAGAAATAACCTGCTTACTTTATATTGTGGCAAAAAAGTGATAAACTACGGTAGTTACTTCTTACTTGATAAAATGTTTACATATAATTTTACAGGTCAAGTGGCAAAAAGAAAAAAGTAAACCAAAGTAAAAGTAAAAAAGTAAAAGTAGAAATTTGAAAACTTTTGTATCATGATATCACTGTTACTCAAATAGCCAAAGTTATTACAGTTACCATAGAATGATAAGATTTAACATTACTTAGCATTTTACAAATGTATATATTTACTGTGCTTTAGATATTTTATTGGTTTTCTATGACCACACAAAATGTTGGTGCTAGGATGTTATATATTGTTTATTCGTTTATACAAACTGGTATAAAATATGATTTTAGACCAGAGATTAATTTATATTAGCCATACATTTTCAGTAAAATGAACAATCTGTGTCAAAGAGTGTTTTTGTCTTACATAAGCTTATATCTCATAGTTGCCTATTATTTAATGTTTTTAATTTTGGAGCACATCAATAATAGCCTAACTAGTTCTATAATAAGAGACGTCAATATAGCTACTTGTGTATTATTAAGAGCGCAAAGTATGTAATAGCTGAGTGTGGCATTACATTTTTTGAGGGATGGCAATACTTAAATGAGTACAATTCATCTCACTTAATTCTACACTCACCCTTCATTCATATTCAGATGAAATTACACAGCAAAGTGTATACCGCTGTCTTACCTTTCATTCATATTCAGATGAAATTACACACCAAAGTGTACACCGCTGTCTCACCCTTCATTCATATTCAGATGAAATTACACACCAAAGTGTATACCGCTGTCTTACCCTTTATTCATATTCAGATGAAATTACACACCAAAGTGTATACCGCTGTCTTACCTTTCATTCATATTCAGATGAAATTACACACCAAAGTGTACACCACTGTCTTACCCTTCATTCATATTCAGATGAAATTACACAGCAAAGTGTATACCGCTGTCTTACCTTTCATTCATATTCAGATGAAATTACACACCAAAGTGTACACCGCTGTCTTACCCTTCATTCATCAGATGAAATTACACAGCAAAGTGTATACCGCTGTCTTACCTTTCATTCATATTCAGATGAAATTGCACACCAAAGAGTACACCGCTGTCTCACCCTTCATTCATATTCAGATGAAATTACACACCAAAGTGTATACCGCTGTCTTACCCTTCATTCATATTCAGATGAAATTACACAGCAAAGTGTATACCGCTGTCTTACCTTTCATTCATATTCAGATGAAATTACACAGCAAAGTGTACACCGCTGTCTTACCCTTCATTCATATTCAGATGAAATTATACACCAAACTGTACACCGCTGTCTTAAAGATTAGAATTTACATTTTTTTCCTTGCTCATTGACTTCAAAGTTCCTTTGTTACCTAATAAAATAGTTTTATGGGTTTCATATTCATTGTATGCTTAATCGTGTAATTGTTTCTTGAGTAGGTCATTACAGTGGTATGAATAGTTACGTCTTTTCTGAATCAAGACAGAGTCCAAACTCAAGTCTAGTCCATTGATTTTAAAGTTCCTCTGTTAGTAGAATCAATTATTTCATGGTTTTAATTGTATGCCTAATCAAGGTTTATGAACTATACGTTTACAATAGGAAAGTAATTTACTAGTAACTTGGGATCAATATAGTAATAGTGTTGTAGTTGTTGTGCGAAGAACTGATTAATTTATATTGTGTATCATGATAAATTCAATAAAAATAGTTCTAGTCATCAAGATATTTATTCCGTTAACTTAATTAACAGTCGCAACTCACAATAAAAGAAAATCTAGCAAAAACAAAAGAAACCACATAGGTATTACTGCTGGCCCACGAAAGGCATTATTAGCCCCCCCCCATCATGACAGAGGGCTGAGGAATTATATAGTTTAAGGAGTACTTAGGTTTGCTGCAACGGGGGGGAGAAAAAAGTTTTTTTGTAAAATGTGGAATAGTTAAGCTCAAAATAAATTTACCAAATTTGATCAAAATATATCCTTAAACATGCAAACTATAACTGTTTACTTATTCTCCATAAAAATAACATGGGAAGTTTAAATTTACAATTTATAAAGATTTTCTCCGTAACCATTAGGCGCATAACAACACTTCAATATACAAAATTTTTTTTTTTTTTTTTGCTCTACAAAATGGTTTTCAAAATAATGCTAAATTTTATGTTTTTAGGGTCAAAAATTAGAAAAACCAATTTTCACCCCTATAAACCCCCGTTTCCATAGTCCGATCACGCTGGTTTGCAAACTCGTTCGAATAAGTGTAGGTTTACATGTTTATACAAAATTTCATTTTTCATATGTATGAATTTGAACAGATGGTGTTTTAGGCCTCTAGGGACCTCAAAACAATAAAAGTAAATCGGTCCCGGGTCCAGGTAGCCTATATCCATGAATTCTACTTATTCAGTATATGGGAAATTCGCTAAAACACCATTGATTTTCATATGCATGCTTTCATAATTTGATTTGTTCATGTAGTAGGCCGGCGAGTCGTGGAGATTGCGGCGTTACCTCATTGGTATTAGAGAAAAGTCAGTGGCTTTTTGATGGTTTTGAAACCGGACCCAGCTGTTCCTGATCATTTGGCTTTAAATAAATGATCATGACTAATGAACCAGCTGATCTTAGCCAGTAACAAAGCTACATACATCATCTCACAACATTCTACACTCATCCTTCACTCAAATTTGGGTTAAGATACACACCTATGTGGCGTCCTCATCTCAAATAGGCTATGACCTCACTGTTTTAATCTGATGCTGCATTGATCGTTGATTGATATTTTAGAACACAAGTACCTAATGTTTTGAAAGCATGGCAAAATAATGCTCCTTGTTTTAACTATTCAAAAAGTGTTTAAGCAGTATTAATTCAAAACTATTGGTTTTTATAAAATGTAGCATAGCTACTTCAAATAAAATGGCTAAGTTCAAGGCATTAATTTGATTCCAAAGTGTATTTGGCTACAAGGTGTATTTAATTTAGCCAAAAGCAGATTGATTGTCTGAGAATATATTTACTAACTGTTAGAATGTAGTTGATATAATTTGTTGCAGATGTGATTGCTATGAACACCATGTTGAAAGCATTGATCCCCGTCATAGCATTATCAGCACACACTTTTGCATTCCGCATCGGTCTAGGATGTGTACCATGGTTCATGGTACCAGAAATAATCCCTAAACATGCCCAGTCATGGGCAAACTCACTGTGTAACTTTTACAGCTATGTTGTTCTTTTTTCTGTTCTGTACTCATTTATATGGGGTGTTGACATGTTTGGCTTTGGACCGACATTTTTCTTTTTTTCTTGCACTTGTACCATTGGAACCGTATTCATTTGTTTTTTTGTGCCTGAAACCAAACAAAAATCAAGTGAACAAATTCAAGAAGAATTGGAAAATGGTTCAAAGAGAGTTCAGTATAGAAAGATATAAAAGCGACTCTTTGCATTAGTTCCACCATCAAATTCATGACTTCTCATACCAATGGTTGTGAAACTTCAGTATTTTATGCCCAGTATTTTTCAAATGCTTTGAAATCCAACAAAACATTTGACAAGGTTTTATGTGGACTTTCAACCTTTTAAATTTTGAAAAGTGTAGATTAGAAATGGTTGCTTGGGTATTTTGTTTAAAACAAAGACTTAACTACTGCTTTGTCTTTATTAATGTTCTTTAAAAAAACTCTTTATATGGGGGTCATACTTAAATATCACTAAAACTGTGATTACACTTACTTAAATTTAGAACTAGAGAATTACTTGTTGATGTGGACCAGCTATTACTCATCAAATGTCTAAGAGGATGTTATGTAGTTTCCTCCCCGCAAAGGTACACATTCTAACCAGCGGAGATATAATAGCAATAGAACGCCTACTTAACAATCTTTAGCCACAGACTGGTGCTAATAACCTTGAGACGTTTTTTTACCTTTTATGTTTGATGTACAATCAAATTATAAGAAGTGTACGACTCAGTTTGTTTAGTTAACATATTTTATAGTACAATAAAACATGCATTTATTTTATGATGTGTAAAATTTCATTTTACCTGACAATTTTAGCCAAATATATGTTTATTTAGTACTTTGCGAAAACTGTTGTTCAATTGTACAGAGCTGAATAATACTGTACAAGGATAACTTGATCCTATTATTTGATCAGTAGTCTTTAATTAAATGATCCTGACCACTGAGCTAGAGATACAACTGGAGGTAACACACTGAATGAGTGAATTGCCAGATGATGGCCGCCATTTTAACTGAGGGATAAAGTATATTGTACCACAGATTGTGGAAACAATAAGAGGCGGTTTGGGAGCTCGAGCCCAGCTAGTACGCGCCTAGTGTTGGACGCGCCTAACTTTAGTCCCCGGACAAGAAACCAGGCTTGGGAGCTCGCGCCTAAGTTGAAATGGTCGTAGATCAAGTATAGTCGCGACTAAGTTGCAGCGCAGCTAGATGGACAGGGAATCGCGGGGAATTCAGGTTTTGACGTTGGCAACGGCCACTGCAGAACACGTTACCGTTGACAACAACAAAAGATGAACAATTGAAGATGGATACAATTTAATCTTGGTATATCAACGGTGGCTAATTAGTAGACTATGGTGCAAGTTTCCGCATTTTACCATTGCAAAAATGTAGTTTTGTAAGATCGTTGATTTACAGTACATCTCAATGACGGCTATGTTATGTTTTATCTATGGTTTTATCTATGGTTACTACACCTTATAAATACGTACAGACAAACATAGGCTTTTGAAAATCAATATGATTTCTTTCAGAGATCAAAAACATTAGGTAATCATTTAAAAAAGATTACCCTGTGTGTGGAACAGTAACATCTGAAACTCGGTTTTATGCAATAAAAAGCTTCAAAATTTAACAACAATTGCCCTGTATAATATATGGGTATTGACGGAAATAAAAATAAAAAGTATTTTAAGTAATTGCGGAGGTTATGATTGTGTGAAGCAAAGGTATATCTTTTAATACTGGGTGGCCCATAAGTCAGTTGACAAATTTGCATTTAATGAAATGATACACAACAAAATGGAATACATGTCTATTATTAATTCATAACTCAAAAACAACATTTACTGTCGAGATGGAGGTTGAACATTCGGAAAACGTTCTACAAACAAATTGCACACATCACTATAACTATGGCCATGTTTGCAAAACAAATACACGCTGTTCTGTTGTTAACTTTCTATTCATTGTTTATCGAATAACAATGAACACACTATCATGAATAACTATCAAACATAACCTCAAACTAAACAACAACAATTACTAAACACAACTCCCAACAGCTGTGGTATTACAGCTATGTATGGTACCAACTGCTAAAATTAAAAAAAATTGCAAGAGTCAACTGACTTATGGGCCACCCACTTACAAAAACATTATTGTCAATTTTAAAAATTTTAAACATGACACTCTTTTATCTAATTTTCCTATAGGGAAGTAGCTATTACCGTAGGTAGCACTTAGTTCCGGCACCGATATACTTTTCCATTTTGATGTCCCTAGAGGCCAAAAACACTATTCGTTCAAATGTTTATATATGTATAGCCAATATATTATATATACGTCCATGAACGTGACAACTTGAGTAATTTTTTTCTGATTTTGATAAAATTTGGCATGAAAGTGTAAGGTGCGATAAACCTTAATAAGTTCGTGAACCAGCATGATCAGACCATGGGAACCCGGGGTTTTATGGGATAAAAATAGTTTTTCTCAATTTTAACCCCTAAAACATAAATCCTTATCTTTAAAATATTTTAAAGAGTATAAAAAACAATTTAGTATCTTAAAATGTTTTGTACGGTTATTGGCTACAGAGATTATTCAAAAAATCGTAAATTTAAAATTCCCATTTGATTAAGTGATTCTCGTGGAGAATAAGTTAACTGTTGTAGTTTGGTCATTTATGGATATATTTTGATGGAACTTGACAAATTTATTCATTTTATATAAAGCTGTTAATATTTTGGTGAAAAACACACTTTATTGCCCTCCCTGTAGCAGCATACCTACATGTAGGTAGTTTTAGTTACTTGTTAAACCTAAAGCTATTTAAATAAATTGCATTGAAAGTCCTATTAGGTTATTGGATATTCGCTTAGTCTGTAGGTTTTCTGTGGTGGGGTTATTGATATACTGTATATATTTTATTATACTCCAAATAATCTAAGTACTCCATTTTAATGTAACTAGCACTTGGTCAATGACACTGAACTGAGCTCAATTAAAGCAATAAAAATAAAACGATTATGACTGTGACCTATTTGCAGTTTTTTTATGTTTTGTGTATTATCTCTTCACTCTTTCGTAGGGGTGAGTGGGGGTCGCTAAATTTTCTTAGCTAATAAAATATTTATTATTAAGGTACGGGTGCTTATAACCAAACTCTCAGTTGAAATAAATTCTATTTAGGGTCCATTTTTTTATTGCAGTTAACGGTAAAAACAAAAAACAAATAATCTTTCGTTAAATTTAGCTTTCTGCAAGATTTTTTTAAATTTTGAACAACAGAAACCTAAAAAAAAACTTTTATCAAATATACTTTGAGAGTAATGAAATTGTTCGGAATTTAATAACGAATTCTAATATAACATTCTTTTTGTTAATATGTAAACAATTAACTTGCTAATGAGGTAATACCGGCATGATGTCGACTTAGACCTGCCCCCTGGCAGGACTAAAGTTGGGGACTAAAATCACTAATTTTTATGACGAAAATATATTACTTAGTCCCGAAATCGGTCTCCCAAACCCACCGAGACTATCTCTTAGGCTGGCGCCTAAGTCTACTTGACTCCCAAACCAACAATATTTAGGCGCGAGATTATCCCTGCACAAGTTAGGCGCGCGCCTAACTGATCCCGAGCTCCCAAACCCATTTTCTAGGCGGCAGCCTAAATACCGGAAATATCCGGTTCTTAGTCGCGGACTAGTGCTAATACCAAGCTCCCAAACCGCCTCTAATGGTCTATAGTCTATGATTGTACTTAGTACATTGATACTAGGAGAATAGAGGATTGTGGGATTGTAATAAAGATATGAG